GAACCGGTAGCCAAAGAAGAAGAAAAACGGCCGCATCTGCGCATGCGGCTGCGCAATTATATGTAGGCGAGAGTTTTGCGCCCTTCCGGCTCAAGCTAAAACGCTCCTTCCGTTTTTATGCGTACGTACGTGCATACGTAAACGAACGAAGCCACCCCGCGGCGCGGATGACTTCCTTCCGCTTGTACGCACACACAAAACGGAAAAGGGAGGTTTTGTCCGTTATGTACATATCGTTTCTATCAATGAACGCATAACGTTTATTATTTAGGATTGTGCTTTGCATGACTAAACGCCCATAAAAGAAATCTCTCTCCCTCTATATATATATACCTTCCAGATTAGCTACAATCCTTTTTCCTATCCGGCTAAAGAAACATTGTATGACGAATTTCCTTTTCCTGAATTCTCGCTTCCTCCGCGGCTCCCTTTGAAAGAGCAGAAAATGAGGATTTCCCTTTCCTTCCTTTAGAAGGAAAGGGATTACCTTCTGTTTCAGGTCGAAAAATCCTAGCGAAAAAATCCAATGGCGGATTTCGCTATAGAGTTAGCGACGACAAGCCATGCAGTAGCTACAGCAGCGGGGAGAAGAGAAAAAATTACAGGATATCCGGCGCGGCCCCACGTCTCTCTCTCTCTCTCTCTCACTCGGCTCTTTTGCTATCTCGGGATATATAAGGCTATTGCGTAAGTGAGCTCAACTATGCACACCCGTCTAGGCTCTCTTTCACGAGATTTTTCTTTCAATATATAGTTTGCAGACGAAGTTAGGCGCGAGGTCGGCGCGAAAGACGATTATGTTCACAGCTGCCGATGGACAAATGAAAAATAATTAAAATCTGCGCGGAGTGAAGAGATCGCCGAAAGACAGAAGGCTCGTGTGTGCCTATGCGGCACACAAAAAAAAGACGAAGAAGAAAGGGAGCCGCTGATTCTCGCACTCGGTTATTTTTTTTTTTTTTTTTTTCGTTCAATAAGCGCGAGCACGCGCGGAGGAGTTTATTTGTGAAGTAAACAGGCGAAAAGAAAAGGCAGCGCGGAAGTTTATGCCAGGCAGCGGCGGAAAGATCGAGAGAAGAGGGCTGAGAGCCGGAAGTGACGCCAAAGGAGAGCGAGAGAAATTATTCGCGGGATACTTACGTCCTCACGTATCACGGCGTCTTCTCTCGTCTCCGTCGAGAAGAAGACGACTCGCGAAAAAGAAGAAATAGGAATAAAAAAGTCGAAAGCAATTTTTTTTGTTCACTTTACCGTCGCCTACACACGCACATTCGAATTCCTTTTTTACATAACGAACGCACGTTACTGTATTTTTTTTTCTCCGTGGTAGACGTTTTCGCGCTTTCATAATGCAACGCACGTGGGCTAAGTATATGGCTTGGGCGATCGTGCCGTGACATGAGAGATCCGAATGAACGAGCGAGCGCGCGCGCGCGTGTGCCTACCTTTGCATTCATGACGACGAAGACGACGACGACGATGGTGAGGTAGGTGGGTGGCATCTAAAGACCCGCGGAACGTCAACCTACATGCGACGGCACGATTGTTTGTATCCTCGACATACAGACAGAAATTCGTGATATTTTAGTGGAGGACTGAAAACCTTTTGGATTTCGCGACTTCGATACAATTGAATTCCAAACGCTCATTTTTTTAGTTAATCGCAAGATCCCAGTTTGTAACGCCGTATAGTTTCCGTATCGAATTATAGATTCTGCATATTTCCCGTACGTCGTAAATCTCTTTTCGATGTATTTAGTATACAACGAGAAACTAATTTTTGTCCTTTTCGCAACCACCATTTAGTCGCGTAAAACGCGTTGCCTCTAGTCCTCCGCACGCAAAGATTTATCAAATAATTAATTAAAGGCTTAGGAAGAAAAAAACAGTTGCAAAGCATCATTCGCCACGTCTATTCATCATGAGATTTAAATCAATCGGATTGTACATATTCATAGAGAGAGAGAGAGAGAGAGCGAGAGAGAGAGAGTCCATAAGAAATACGTAACGTGCGAGCGATGCATCAATTTTAATCCTCCTCGATATTAAAGAGATTCTTAAAAATCGCAGCCAGTTCTTCCCATAAATCTTGGGGCAATTATACGGCAAATATCGCGCTGCGCGCCGTTTCCAAAACTCTTTCGTTCGACGTCAGTAACAAGAAAGATGGTCATTGCCTCTCTTCTTTTTTTTGGGTGGGGGAATGAGAGGAAGTGGGACTTTTTATGGGTTTTCGTGTTAGAGTCTGTATCGCCCAATCGATCTGATTGTCGAATACATAGCGCACAGATGTGTTTTGACTTTTATTCGAGGATTGACTTAGACTATCGTCGCCACATTGATTGAATCAACATGTCGATGTTATTGATTTTTTTGATCGAAGGAGAACTCAACCGGTTGCTTGGTACCAACAGCCTGAAGCGAGTAAGGAAATTTCCATTTTCAGCTATCCAAAGCACGAATTATGTGTTTTGAATAAAATTGAATAAAGCTGAAATCCGCAGCTCGAATGTTCCGAGCATCGGTTTTCAGTAATCGAACGAGCCTATGGCGCACGCCCTAAACCGAATAGCGTCCATTTACAATCGCGAGAAAAGAAGAAAAAGCCCAAAGGGAAAAAAGCTACGGCCATCGAAGACATCAATCGCATTTAGAGTTGATTAAGCTGTGCTTCCTGTGCTTCCTGTGCTTTCTGTACTGCGGGGACATCGTCCCTGCCGCTCGCGCGCGCGACGTGAATGGGATTTCAAGGGTTCCGGTCTCATTAAGCGCGAGGCTGCGCGCGCACATATACAAGCACGCGCGCGTACCCACGCACACGCGCACACACACACAGTCAACGGTTCGAGTGAGTTATTCTCGGATCGCGATAACGAGAACTTCTCGCCAACGCGCAAACGGACGGACGGAAGACAGAGAGAGAAAGAGACGCCAAGCGGACGACGCACCCGATAACGAATATCGATTTCCTCTTCCTTGCGCCAACAAAGTCGAGCCAGCTCGAGCTGCAGTTTCTGAATAACATCGATGTTTCGGAGAGCATTGTTTTTCCATCATGGAAACAGCTTCTGGATTTTGAAATTGAAACTATTGTCGTTGAAAGCCTTTTGTATTAGCTCATAATGAAGCTTATCAGCGGCCTACAATTCTGTCTTTTGGTTGACCGTCGAAAGGGATATCATTGTAGCGTAAACATCATTGGCATGTTTTTTAACCATTTAGAAAAGCTTACAAATACATCCTTAATAACTCAATGCCATTTTATACGAATGAAGCGAGTCGTTCAAAAGATTCTACAAACTCCAATGAATAGGCAGATTACATCGGACAATAGAAAGCTCTTTTTGCCGCTCTATCGAAAATATGAGGAATCCTTCCCTTTTGCCTAACGCAGAAATAACGAGGTAACGAGCCGAGAGTGTGCTAGAGTGGATTCAGCATTTTTCTCGTCTGGAGGCTTTTCCGCAAATCATCGTCAATCTCATCGTCTTTCTCTCTTAATTAAACCAACTTGAGACTTGAATTTCGTGGAAACATGATAATAGCTGTCATTGTGCTTACGCCAATAACTTTTCTTCCCGAAACGTGGGACGAAATCCTTGTACTATTAGACGTGCTATTCCATCAAATTTGCCTCTACTGCTTGCTTTCTCATTCGATGATTGTTAGTGCAATACGCCACAGATTTGTAGGAGGGCTCCTTCGTTCAGCGGATTATGAGACGTGGATCGAAAGTTTGATGTGAATTGATACTGCGTAGGAGAAGAACTAAAACGACGGATTAAACCTTTCATTTAATTCTTTTTTGAATTTCAATCTACCTTATTTTATCAATGTAGTTTGACCATTTTTTCTCGTCAATTTGAATCCCTCGGCAATGTGCACCTGATTGAAAATTACTAGTCGACAAATCAGTTAGAGGCGACACTAAACGGAACGGTATGTAAAGTTATACGTGTATTCATCGCGTTGTCCGATTTGTTATTTTCAAAATGGGTAAATTTCAAGGCTATACGTTCAATGCTTTCGCATGTGAGTAATCGTACGAATCTGCATGAAAAATTGAGAACGACTTGTAAGCTATTACAATTGGCATTCTAGATATGTAAGAGGAATTTACAGGTACGGCTCAGGCGTTCAAAGTCTGCCAAAAGTGTAACAGTGACGTATTGAAAAATAATCAAATTAATCCCAACGACAACTGGAATTCGCAAGAAAAATTTTTTTTTTTTCGTACGTTTTATCGCTGGATTTCTCAGTAACAGTGGATGTTACACAGAGACCGTTTCATACGCGCACACGCCAACATTTCTAAAAATACGTGAGCGCGTAAACAATTAGTGCGCGAGTATGTATCGAGGCTATCTAAGCCGCATTAACATTCAGCGATCTATTCTCGTTTCCGATTTTACCCATCCGACGAGGAACAAGGAGTCCCCCGCACAAATGATAATGGGGCCGGAGGAACGGCGACGCCTACGAGGGCGAGTTCGTCGCGCAATGGAAGGGAGGGAAGGAAAAAAACTGGATCCTTCGCATACTCCGTATCGAGAGATGGAGATCGGCCAATCAGATAGCACGGCTCTCCAACAGGTTCACCTACACACACTCTCCGCTGGGTTTTCGCGATCTCGCGCGAGCGGAGAGAAAGCGCAGGCATTTTGTCATTTTTCTCGGGGGATGACGGGCGGAAATTGAATCGTTACTCGCAATCGTTGCTTTCGAGTAGCTATGGCTAACCACGCGGAGCTCCGCGCATAAATCTTGCAGAAGGAAGTCGGCTTTCGATATCTCTCTCATCGTATCGGCTCTCGCGCGCCACTTCCTCTTCATCAATATTCAAACGGATTCGAACGAGGACGCCAAGTGACAAATGCACCGCGAGTTGAAAAGGATATCCTTCGGCTTCGTTAATGCGAAGTAAATAATTGAAGAAGGATGCGCCGATAAGCGTAGCGTCGGTTGATTTTTGCCCGGCGCGCCGGGAAACGTCTACTCACCTCTTTGCTGGGCACGACGATTGGCGTTCCCTCCTTGACGATGCCAGCCTCCACCATCACACCCATAACGATCGGATCTCTCGACTTGAAGATGAACTGCAAAAACGACAAGTGGATTATTAATTGATTCCGTTATTCCACATGAAAGTAGACATTCGCGTAGCAGTAACCAGTTTTCCACGTCCCGATGCCATTGCGGAAGGCAAATTAAAATATCGTAGGCGTGTGCACATGTAATGCGCAGTATATGAATTGACACTCAATGCAGCGGAATGCGCGTGCGTTTTATATACAATGTGACGTGCGTCATTGGCGAAAAAGCGCGCTAATCGTTTCCGGTCTCCTTCTTTTTTGCATTTCTTTTTTTTTCTTCTCTCTCTCTCTTTCTTATTGCCAATCAGCTTCTTCTTTTGCTTGAAGTAGAGCCCGGAGGCGCGCGCTCTCTCTCTCTCTCTCTCTCTCTCGACTTCCTGGCAGCCGGCTGCAGCGTTATTTTGCTCTCGTCCTTTTTCTGTCTGTCTGTCTCTCTCTCTCTCTCTCTCTCTCTCTCTCTCTTTCTCTCTCGTTAGCCCCTTCTCTCCTAAAGGCTCTTTCGCACAGCGACGCATCCGGCGATAAATGCTCTCGTTTGTGCTATCTTGTATATATACCGAGCCGTTCGTAAATGCTCCTGCTGACGGTCTTTTAAAAAAATGTTTTGCCCCTACGCTCGAGCTCAATCGTTTATCCTTTACCTTCATCTTCTTTTCTTCTTCTTCTTCTTCTGCTTCTTTTGCTTCTTCTTCTTCTTCTTCTTCTTCTTCCTCTTCTTTTTCTTCTTTTTCTTCTTTTAATTGTGTTTCTGCTGTACGAGGCTCCTTAGCTTTTTTTGCCTTTTGTTGGCTGAGCAACTTGTCAGGTTATAATAACCCATCAAATGTCGGTATACATACAACGTTCAAAGTTTCAAACGTCGATCAAGCTCGGCATTATCGAAAACAAACGGATTCCTCAGTTAGCGAGAGTCGCGAGATCCGCGCGCGAAACATGCAGATCGTGTTAATTGAGCGTGATTGTATTGCGGATTGCCACAGGACGTCGTATATTGTGGCGCGCTCGTATAAAGCTCGCAGCCGCGACAACGATGTTCGAAGGCGCCTACACCGTTACACGAGCGCCGCACACCCTTCCTCCTCCTCCTTTTCGAGCGCGGCGGCATTGTAAATTCTCCGTTCCGCGCCCACGTGGCCGAACAGTGCGACGTAATGTCCTCTCCACCGAGCGATAGAAAGTCGAGGACTCGTTACCTGCGGCAAGACTTTGAGCTTGCAGGGGAAGACGGCGATGTGCTTGAACTCGTCGCGCTTGCGCTGCTTGAGCTGCTCCTTGTACTCGGTGAAGCGGTCGAACAGATGATAAATGATGTCGGCCAGGAAGATCTTCACGCCCAGCGTGTCAGCCAGCTCCTGGGCGTCGCGCTCAATTTTCACGTCGAACGCGAGAATCGTGGCGTACCTGCCGAGCAAACAACATTGGACGAGGACTCTGGGTAGCGCGTGTGCCACCAAGGCTACTACGCCAAGACTACTTACACGACGTCGTGCTCCAACATTATCGACGCCTTCATCACATCCTTCTTGACCACTGGGCCGATGCGTATGCCCGCGTACTGAAAGCAGAAAGAAAAGCCATGAAAATCGACGGCTCCGTTTCTCCGGACGGAGAGGCATCCCTCTAATTTGTATGACTAATGATCGAAGGATGGTTAGCGCAGAGGGAATGGGACGGGAGGGGGTGGCATCTGTGTGGCATTAGCTTGTCAGCCTCGCACGAACGTGCACCCGAACTTCAAAAGGAATGGCGACACGCCCGGCCGCATCCAGACGATGCGACATCCGGGATATGCACGCCAGCGACGATGCTCGGCCCGCGGCTCCTGCGCCGCTGCGCGCCAAACGGTTATTCCTGGAGAGCGCGAGGCGCGCTCCGCTCGGCTGCAAGCCTTCCGGCTATCGATGCCGACTACTAGCGCCCGCCGATTTCGTCCCCGTCCGCATCCTGCCTCGCACGCCGCTTATCACACCCATGACTCGTTCATCGCGATAAGCGTGCTAAGCTGCTGGCTCGCCCCCCCCCCCCCTCCCATTGACGCCACCACTCGGATTATCATACACAGGCTTCGGTCATCATTTTCCATTCCAATCGTCACTTTATCCTTGACACACTACCTCTCGCACACGGCGAGCGCCATTGCTCCGCGCGCATCTTTCTCCGGATAACCGTGCGGCACGCGCCGAGCGAACGTTCTCAAACGCGAGAGCGCACACCCCGTCTGTTAGTTCGACGGCGGGGCATGCATCGACGGGACGCACGCGCCTCTGGGTTTTATCGGCGCACACGACACGCCTCTGCGCTCCTTTTTCTTTTTTTTTTCCGATAACGTACGCGCGAGCTTAATGCCAATTCCGTCTTACCGTTTCTTTCTTCCGTAATTTTGGGCGTACAAGCTAGTCGGCTATGACGAAGAAACGGCGGGTAATCGAAGTGCGCGCGTTGGGACATTTTATTGCAAAAAGTCGCCCACGCTTTTCCTCTTGGTCGTCATTATCATCTCCGCGCGTCGAAGTTGCCAACGAACTGCACGGGGGCGCGACATTTGCACCAGTTTCATTTGAAAGAAATCTCACGTTTCTGCGCTGTCTGCGGAATTCCGTCGGACGAGGGCTCACGCGATAAACGAAAATGCATCGGCCTAAACAAACACACGTAGGCCTAATTATAGGTGTTGGGTATATGAAAGAAGAAAAAAAGGGCGAATTTCGGAAAAAATAAAGAAATACAGCAACGAAGGAATAAGGAGGGAGGATAATAATTGCGCGGATCCCCCAGGGCGTAGCTCGTAAAAAGATAACGAACGAGCGAGAGAAGAGAGAGAGAGAAAGACGGGGGTAAATTATCCACGAATGCGACAGTAGTACAACAGCGGGCCTCTAATGGTTTCATCCTTGACGAGGGATACGCGCGACATTTGCATAATTTCGCGGTGCGCGCGTTTGCGTCTAGCGGCGCTTGGAAAAACTTGCCTTTGTAATTGGCTGAAAGCTCTTGCAAGGGCAAACGAGGGCGCGAGGAGACTGAGAATAGCACGGTGACGCATCGAGCTAGCGAGAGTCTTGTGCGTGGAAACGCACATACACGTGTGTCCATAAGCAACGGAGGAGAGGCGCAGCTCGCGCGACACTAGGGCCGGTCTTTCTGCCGATTTTACATTGTGTCACACTCACGATCAGTTTGTGAGTCGCGCTCTCTCGGCTGTACTCTTAATGCACAGCGTCTCGTAGGAGTGCGGTTCTTAAAGTTCTCGAACGGAAAAAAGTGGCGTTTGACAAATTTTGAATTTTTTATTGAGATTTGAAGGTCGAAGCTCGCGGTGAGCGGTTTCGTAAAAATTAATCGTGTAGAAACGCGGAGGAGAGTCGCAACACCGCCGAGTGCTCGAAAATTCTGATGACAAGCAACGAAACGCCTAAGCGCAGAAGATCATCCATGATTTATACGACTTATCGTCCGTGGAATGAAGCAACGAAGCCTTGATCATTTTTCCATCTACGGTGGACGAAAGTGCAGAAAAAACCTCGCGCGTGAGAGTCGAGCATGTAGAGGCGATGACGAGAAACGACGACGACGACGACGACGACGACGACGACGACGACGACGACGACGACGACGACGACGACGACGACGACGACGACGACGACGACGACGACGACGACGACGACGACGACGACGACGACGACGACGACGACGACGACGACGACGACGACGACGACGACGACGACGACGACGACGACGACGACGACGACAACCACGACGACGACGACGACGACGACGCCGGCAACGACGACGACGACGACGACGACGACGACGACGACGACGACGACGACGACGACGACGACGACGACGACGACGACGACGACGAGTTGGTATAGCCCCCACACAGACCCTAAAATACAACGCTCTCTCGTGCAATAAACGCATGCGTGTGTGCCTGTTCCGAGAAGCCTCCTCGACAGCGCACCCTCTTATAAAGAGCCATCTTCAAGAATGATCATCGTGCTGAAATATATTGCCAAAAAAGGGAAGAAGCGCTTGTATTTCATTCAATAACGATTAAACGCCTGACAATTCAATGAGCGAGTCAAGTTCAAGGATTCAAATAAAATAAAGTAAAGTAAAAGTAAAATAAAATAAAATAAGAAATACTCTTGTGCGTCGGGGCATCAAACTCTCTCTCTCTCTCTCTCTCTCTCTCTCTCGCACGCGCTTCTCAAAAATCATCAATTATCCGTCTTGCCTGCGTCTTCTTCTCCGCCTTATTCTTCTTCTTTTCCACGACAATTTGGCAGCGCTTTGCGCAAACGCTTCGCTCGACAGGAAAAAAACAAAAAAAAAAAAAAAAGAAAAAAGTCACCGGCATTTACATGAGGGAAAGAAGAAGAAAAAAACCGACACTTCCGGCGAGAAAAGTTAGTTACGCCACGAGCGTCATCAGCGTGCGCAGGCTAGCGAATCGATGAATGAAAGCCAAGCCAAGCACCACCGCGCGAGAGGCTCACCTACACGCCAAACTTTCCAAAGCGAGAGAGCTCTTTCACTCGACAATGGCGAAATAGGTCACAACTTCATTCATGCTGCAGCCGCGCCGTTGCGTTCGTATGAATGAAACGCGCGCCACCGCGGAAGTTATACGCGCGCGCAAAAAATCGCAACGCACGAAACTTTATATATGTTGCATGTATATCAAACCGCATGCTTGCGGAGCGGATTTGATAATCCAATTCTAGGATTACGGTGTTACTGGCTGCCAACTTACGTAATTTTACGTCTACGGTTATTTCGTATGCAAAGTGTATTTTTATTATGCAGGCTTTGCGTAATTTTCTCGCAGACTTCTATGAAAATTGTATGTTTTATTACTGTAAAATAGAGTTGCCACGCTCATTCACTCGAGCAGTAGTTAGTGCAATTGATGATTCGACGAGCAAGTATTTGTGTAGATTTTCAAAATTTTTGTTTGAGTCATTTATGTCAGTTTGTCAGTTATGAATGATGTCCGTATGCTTTGACAGTCGGAAAGAACGTCATGTAATCGATTAAACTTACGGATAATCGTGCGCCGAATAGGCCAAGTATAATTCATCAAGGCAATTTAAAACTCTGGAAAATGATTTATTCGCGAACGAAAAAGGATAATCACGCCATCAAGTCAATGTTTATACTTTACGATCTCATGAAAACTCATATTTTCGAAGCCCCAAATTTTCGATAAGTAAAGGTCATTATACATCCGGGGCCCGAGATATAATTCGAAACATCCTATATTTTTATTATAGCAAAACGGTATACACGCGCGATCGCTTTTTGCAGGGCATTAACGAGCTAATTTTCAAGCTGGTTATAAGAAATCATTGTGCAACGTAGCGACGAAAAGATGTAAAACGGAACAAGAAGATTGCTGGCAATCTTACGCGCAAGCGAAATAACATGGGCAACAGTGTTTTAGAATGACTTCCGGCGGGCCTCTCCAAATTATCATGCCCTCTTTCCCTTTCTTCTCAATAAGAAGTTTATTAAGAGGCTCGTGCGCCGCGAGCTGAAATCTCGATATAACGACGCGAAGATCGTGCTTTCGGAATTAATCGATATACGGCCGATTCGGAAAAAAAAACACTCGCAATCATCTGCACTCCATTACATTAACTTTTTAAGTTACGACTTCCTTGCGGCTGCAACTTTTTTCCGATGATATTGCGGCTGCCGGTCGGACACACGCGAGTTCTGTTATGAAAAGCTTTTTAACTTTTTTCCGTTTAACGATATCGCGACAATTTCGATTTCCTGCGTATCCCTTGGACGAGTAGGAAGCGATCCATTCCCGCAGTCGCAGCAAAAAGCCAATAGATGTCAATAACAATTCAGCCGGCAGCAGCCGCCAGCGGAAGCCCGAAATAAACGGACGAAAATCAAACGGACGTCCGGACGAAACTCTACGCCAAAAATTTCTCAGCGTTGTCGTCGTCATCGTCGCTCGGATTTCAAAGTCTTTCCCAAACAACAAACTCCCTCTATGCCCGACGACTTCCGCTTGTTATAAGGATTGTTTCGCGGCTAATGAGCGAATACTTTGCCGATCGCTGCAGGGAAGTTGTGTGCTGCAACCGTTGCTGCTGTTAGCCGCAACGATTCTTGGGTTTTTTTTTTCTTCAAGAGAGATTCTGAAACAAACGGCGGAAGGAAATTGAGGCACAGTGTTTTCGTGAAGTCGATAATCGCGTCATTCGACACGTATTTTACGACCGTTGCGAGAACGAAAAGACTAATTACGATAATCGATTGCGAAAACAAAAAAATATTCCATTGCAAAACGTAGAATTTTTGATCTGAATGAAAGCTTCGAGAGAGGAATTACAAAGTCCCCCGCACATATTATGAGAACGACTGTTGGCATATAAGGAAACGTCGAGATATCCGTCCGGTGTGTGTCGAGTTGAGAGAGCGAGAGAGCGAGAGAGCGAGAGAGAGAGAGAGAGAGAGAGAAAGAGAGAAATAGAGGAAGCAACTATATAGATCCGGCTCGTTTTCATTCATTCATCCATTCATGAGCCATTTTGTATAGTTGCATGTTCGCTATATACTCTGACGTTTTATTGGATATTTTCTATTGGAAGATATAGAGTAGACTTTTGTAGCCGATAATTCAACGTTTTAATCCACGACTTCCTCGATTATTAATTCATTGATTTATTCCCGATTCTCATGTGTCTGCAATAGTGGACTTACGAACGGTTTCCGGGATAAATGCTAAAGACAGACTTCTTTATTATTTATAGATAAGAAAACTTCAATTTCTAATCGTGGAAAATGTCTGCAAGTAAAAAGAAATTGAAGCAAGGGAGTCTTCCAAGCGCTCAAGAGGATAATCATCACGTGCGG